CAATGCCAATCAAAATTCTCCCTGGGGCTGGTACTGTGGCACAGTAGGTTAAACCTCTGCCTGTGGCATCAGCATCCCACATGGGCACCGGCTCTAGTCCCGGCTGCTTCTCTTCCAATCCAGCTCTCTGCTATGGCCTGGGAAAGCAATAGAAGACGGCCCAAGTCCTTAGGTCCCTGCACCTGTGTGGGAAACCTGGAAGAAGCTCCTGGCTCACTGGTTTTGGATTGGCCATTTGGGGAGTGAACCAGCGGATGGAAGACCTTTCTCTGTCTCTGCTTCTCTCTGTCTGTAACTCTGCCTCTCAAATAAATAAAAATCTTAAAACAAAAACAAAACAAAAGCCTCTCCCTGTGCTTCCGGTGTATGTGCTGAGTTTTACCCCCGCTGGGGAAGTTGGTACTCTGAAAATTGCCTTTTCTCTGCCACAGGGAGAGAATGTCTGTTTCGCAGGAGTCCACTGTGAACAATAGAAGTGCGCTGGCTAAAATAGCGTTTTCACGTGAGTTACATCTGATGGTTCACCCTCTTCCCTGGCGGGGAGTCTCCAAATTCCCAGCATGCACCACGAATGTGGGCTGCATCTGTTTAAAGCCGGGAAGGGACAGGCATGAACTCACTTCCTCATGCGGTGTCCCGAAAACCCACATGCAGTGGTAGTGGTGAGTGCGGCTCCACTTCCAAGCATTTAATCTAGTCCGTCTTCTGAGTAGAATACAGATTTGATTTTCTTTTACCACCAAAAACCCACCACTTACTGCCCAGAGCAATTTGAAGTAACCGACAAAAAAATATAAAATAGGAAAACCAGAGACCATAAAACGGGGCAGTGGTGGGGCAGAGGGCAGTCTGGTGAACATAAGTTCCCCCAGCAGACGCAGCACGTGCGGTCTGGCTCTGAGGTTGAGCCGTCTGCGGTCCGTGTGGTCCGTGTGTTTGGAAGGACTGCCTTAGGGACTGCTCACCAGGCGAGAAAACAGCTCCGGTCTGTGCTCTCTTCTTCCAAGGGCCCTGAGCTCAGCTCCCACCCCCAGCTCTCCTCTCGTCTTCCCCGGGGCACTTGGCTCACACCCAACCGGAATCCCCCCCCCCCATCATCTCCATCTCTCTCCCTCTCCAGCTTCCACCTCCCGCAGCTCCATCTAACTACCGGTGGTGCAGGTCAGGTTCACAGAAGGGGCCTGCAGCCCACGACCAAGGAGCTGTGCTGGCAGGGGCGGGATTCTCTCTGGGCTCCCGGAAAGGGGCGGAGCCTGGGAATGCTCCCACGTTCTTACACCTCGCTCTGTCCGTTCAGCCAGCAAAGCCTTGTGGAAAGCCTGTTGTGGTCAGGGTCTCGGGCCGGGAGGCAAAGGTGAGCTTCCGATGAGATGGGCAAAGGAGCAAAAGCCCCCTCCTCTGGGTGCTAAGTGACCTGAGAGGCATGGAGCTCTGGGGTGGGCGCTTCCTCTGCCTGCTGGCTTACGGCCCCCTGCCGGGTCCCCTTGCTCGGAGGAATGCAGGGCAGGCTGCCGCCAAGGGACAGCCCACCAGACAAGCTGCTGGCTGCAGAACTTCAGGCCTGAGGTTCTGGAGCCACACCAGCTCACAGTACAGCTTCCTGCTCGTTTATATTTGAATGTCAAACAACTGAGGCGGTTTTCAGTGCAAGGATGCCTGTGGTGTCGCGTGGACAGAACTCCGTTTTCCTGCCTGGAAAGCCTGCGGCAGGGGGACCTGGCACCCAGGAAATGCTCAGGAGGTGGTGGACTGCGGCATGTCGCTATCAAGCATTCGAAATTGAACTCGGTCCTTCGGGATTTTGGTTTCGATGTTTCTGGGTCTGATCAGCAATCGGGATCAAACAAACCGTGGGTGAGGACACCTGCTGAGCTCACAGAACCGTGCAGAGGAACTGAGCTGAAAGCAAGACATCGCAGCGTGGCAGAACCACTTCCTCTCCCTCTCTTCCTACATTGACCTCCACTTCATTAATGAAAAACAGCTTTGTCCCAGGGCTGGGCAACTTGGAAGCAGGGTTAGTGGCAGGCCACGGGCCCTGGCCAGCCTGTGTTTTCACCTCTCCTGGGTCCTGCTGGCCTGCAGGCCTCTAACACCCCTCTCTTGTGCTTTCAAGTGGCACCTTTCCTCGTGGAAGGTGCCTCTTCTTCCAGGAAGCCCTCGAGCCACCATGCAGTTGACTCTACAGCTGGAGGAAAGTCAGCAGGACAGGGGTGCTCTCAGCTGCCTGCCTCTCTCACCTGTCAGTGGGCCAAGTCTCCCGGGGGGTGCATTTGCTTTCCCTGGAGTCAGTGCATCCCTGTGGGGCTGGGCCATCCCTCAGCAAGTTCACCCTGTAATAAGCCAGCAGGTCACATTTTGTTCTCCTTAAGTAAATCGTATGGACACATCGAGATGTGTATTTCACTCCTAAATTCCTAGAATGCACTGCATTTTCCTAATCGCCCAGCACAGGAATGAGGATAGGCCAGTTCACAGATGGGAGCATCAGCTCCCTCTCCCTGGGGCCAGGCCCAGCCCAGCCAGCACAGGGAGCTGAGTCCTGCAGGTGCGCCCTGGCTGACAGCCGGAAGGCAACGTGGGGTTGTGGAGCGGGCGAGTGGATTGGAATCTCACCTGGGTGAACGGGGAAATTTCCTGATTTTCATGTTCTCAAATGTTGTGTACAGCTAACAGCTCCCATTTTCTGGATTTGTTTAAACAATGAAATGAGACAAAGCGACAATAGCAACAGAAACAAGGACAGTGAGGAGGGAGGCTGCAGCCCCTGTCACAGTCCGAGGAGGCCGTGGCTGCCATGAGGCCTCTCAGGGGACTTGCAAGGAAGGGATTTTTCCAGCAGCAATCCTGAGGGCCTGGGCAGGGCAGAAGGGGCTCTACTGAGGTATGCTGGATGTGGGACTCCCCCCTGCCCAGCACAAAGGGCCAAGTCCACTGCTCCTGGGAGGCCCCCAGTGTCCACCCCTGGGGATCCTGCCATGCCCCCAGACCCTGCCCTGCCTCTCTCCCACGGTTGTCCTTTCTGTGCCTGGACGCCAGGGATCAGCCATGACCACACTGTCCCTGTCCCGCCTCCTTCATCACTCTCCTGCTCACAGACCTCAGGGGGATGGACTCTCATACTGGTCCACGGAGCATCACTCAGCCAGCCGGTCAGCACCCACCCATGGCCCCAACCTCCCCTTCCTGCTTCCCTGCCTGACGCCATTCCTCCCATTTCCCCTGCCCTGCAGTCTAGCCAGGTAATCATCTATCTGTCCAGTCAGCTACTCAACCTATCACACCACCACACCCATCCACCTATCCGCCCACGCCTCCATCTACCTGCCCAACCATCCACCTGCCCTACCAGCCACCTATCCATCTACCTGTCCACCCACCCCTCCATCTACCCACCTATCCATCCACCTACCTATCCACCCACCCACCCTTCCATCTACTCACCTATCCATTCACCTACCTATCTACCCACCCACCCCTCCATCTACCCACCTATCCATCCACCTACCTATCCACCCACCCACCCCTCCATCTACCCACCTATCCATCCACCTACCTATCCACCCACCTATCCATCAGTTTATCCTCCCTCCCTCCCTTCATCCCTCCCTCCTTCTCTTCCCTCTTCCCTTCCTTCCTTCTGTAAGTTCTCACTCCATGGTGGAGCCTCTGCTGAACATTGGAGACACAAAAATGAAGGACACAGCCTCTGGCCCCAGGTAGCTCACACACACTCTGACAGAGGAACAAAGAACAATGGACTCCCATCAGGAACTCCACCCATTGCTCACAATAGGAGCTAAGGACAAATCATTGTAATGTGCACTCCTGCCTGTAACCACTACCATTTAACAAAACACTGGGCTTCATCCCAGGCAGTTCCAGAGCTGGAACCTCACAACTCTCACGCTGAGACCAGAACCACTAGAGGCCAGCCTGCTGGCGCTGTCCTCTCAACCTTTTCCAAGCCTCTTCCACAGAGGATGGGGTGTCAAGCCCTGCACACCACGCTGGGGCCTCTGGAGTTGGGGACACTGGCTTTAGGGACAGGAACACCTCATCAGGGAACTTGGGATTAAATCTCCACTCAACCATGACACAGCCACACAAATTCTGCCAACTACAGGGCCTCATGGAGACCCAGGTTCTTTATGTATAAAATAGAGAAAATAATATCTACCTTGCAGAAGGGAGACCACGTAGCAGGTGCCCAGGAAATGTCATCAATACCAGATCTGTATGAGTGCCTTTTTTTCTTACCATAACGAGATACCTGAGGCAAGCTGTTAGAAAGAAAAGAAGTTGACCTGGGCTTGCAGTTCTGGAGCTGCAAGGAATACAGGCCTCATCTGGCATCAACCTTCTGGTCGGCGGCACAGAGCATCACCTGGCAAGGAACAGGGAGCATGTGTGTGTGTGTCTGTCTGTCTCTCTTTCTAAATTCACCAGGAGTCAATCACAGGGGCTCCATTCAGGCTAACGCTCTAATGTAATCGAATCACTTTCCAAAGGCCCTGCCTCTGAACACCATAGTCCCATCAAGTTCCCACCCTCTGAATGCCATTACCACAAGACCCTGGGGAAGAAAGCACCTGCGAGCTGGCGGGAAGGCCTTCACTGAGGCTGTTCTTGCCTGGGACGTGATGACATAAACCAGAATGAACTCCGGAAGAGGAAGCCAAAACCCTCAGTTGGAACATTCTGGTACTTCTGAGTTTCTGGTGACCAGCCTGACCTCACCTGCCCCAGCTACTGCGTATGCAGAGTGGGATGCTAAGCGCACGTACCTCTGGAGCTGTGGGGTTACTATGTGCGGGGAGCAGTGCCTGGGAAGAGGGTTCTCACTGGGGAAGGGGTGTTGTCCCTGCCCTGCACAGCCCTCACCAGGCTGTGAGTGATTTGCAAGCATCATCCACTTCGTCTGCATTTCAGGCCTTGCAGACAATGGACCCCGTGCGTCACAAAGCCTCTTCCTGCAGGGAGGGTGCACAGGGTTCCCAGGCAGCCCACAGGCTGGCGCACACAGAGCCTGCTTGCTGGCCCTGATGACAGGGCTTGAGCGGCCCAGGGGAGGGACAATGGAGAGAGGAGCCGGCAGTCTGCTGACGCGGTAAGATCTGCTGTTAAGTTTCAGATGTTCCCAAAGATGGCACAAAACAGAGGCCCTCTAGCTCCTGGTCAGAGGTCACGGAGGGCACGAGAGCAAATCCGATGGGAGAGCAGTGCCACTGGACAGCAAGGGAGCAGGGCCCTGCACAGCTAGTGCTCTGTGGAGTGGGTGCACCTCCATTCCACGTGTACGGGGCAGCTGTCGCACGGAAGGGTAATCGTTCCCCCTTTCCTGTGTGCTCCATCTCCGTTTTAGTCTCAGAGAGTATTTTCTGGCAAGAAAAAAAAAAAAGTAGTGGAGGCCCCATTTCCTTGGCTCATCACCGTGAGACGTGGAATCTAGGCCCTGCTGCTTCCTTGTTATGTGACTTTTGGGCAATCAACTTAGCCTTTCCAAGCCCTGGCTTCCTGATCTGTGAAATGGGTATAGTTAATGCTTCTTCTAGGAGTGTTCTGAAGGTTAACCGAGATCATGAGGGTGAAGAATTTAGTCTAGAAAACACCAGGAACTGTGTGTTCACTTCTTTCCCCTGGCTTGGATAAGACACTACTTTCCTGGGGATAACAGCCTTCGCCTGCCTCACTCGCAGTGGCGATCAGAGCAGTGATGGCCAAGATACACGTGCAAGCTCTCTGTCACCCGTTTTCCATGGTATGAGGGACTGAGCGCCAGCTCTGAGCCGGCTGCTTTGCTTGGAGCTCTATGCATATTACTCTGGCAATTAAATGCAAGCTGCCTGGGTTGGAATCTGGCCTCAGTCACGTCGCTGTGTTACCTAGTGCTCATCACTTTTCTAGCCCTGACTTTACAGAGGCATTGTGAAATGTTGAACTCTATCATTTGTTTATGAGAGGCAGAGATAGAGACAGAGAGAGTTCCCACTACTGCTTTACTCCCCCAGATGGATTGGGCCAGGCCAAAGCTGAGAGCCAAGAGCTCCATCCAGGTCTCCCATGTGGGTGGCCAGGAGCCAACCACATGAGCCGTCAATGCTGCCTCTCAGGTGCGCAGCAGCAGGAAGCTGGAGTCAGGAGCTGGAGCCGGGTTATCAACTCCAGGTGCTGTGATGTGGGAGGTGGGCATCTTAACCACTGGGCTACATGCTCACTCCTAGGAACTGTGAACAGGAAATGATAATGTCCACAACAACCACAGTACTCGGACATAGTATGTACTCCATAAAAGCCAGCTGTTCTTCACAGCTTTACTGCATGGCTGAGGAAGCGGGGGCAAGGTGAACGAGCAGCTTATCCAGAGTCACCCTCAAGGATGCAAACCAGGCTCTTCCCACTCTGCCGCGCTGCCTCCACCTGTGTGCCTGTGAACCAGAGGCGTCCTTGCCTTCCAGAAGGGTGCTTAGGCAGTGCTGCTCGGTCACTCTCCTTTCCAAAAGGCCAGACCGGCAAGATTGGCTCTGAGCCCAGCCCACCAGCAGAGTGTGAACCAGGGTGGCTCCCTTCCTCTGCTGACCCAGAAAGGGACAGCACTGGGATTTGCTTTGATGGCACCTCCCACACTCTCCGGCTCCAAGCTGAAGCGGAGGAAGCCCAGTAGCTTCCCAGCCAGAGGATCTCGGTGCTCCCCGAGATGACCCCTTCCGAGGCCCACACACCAAGGGCTGCTGTGCAGAGCGCACCCCAGACTCCTCATAGTTGCTTAAAAGCTGGGGGAGGCGGGGCAGGAGCACCACGGTGAGCTGAGTGCTGCCGTGATGTTAAGCCGTAGATGCTTCTGGAAGACAGGGAGACACATCTATGTCTGCCTGGGCACAGTGGTGAAGACGCTGCCGGCACACCTGCATCCCATGTTAGAGGGCCTGGGGCTGAGGCCTGGGTCCACCTCCAGTTGCAGCTTCCTGCTACTGCATGCTGTGGGAGGTCGCCAGTGAGGACTCAAGTCCTTGGGTCCCTGCCACCCGTGTGTGAGACCTGGACTGAGCTCTGAGCTCCTGGCTTTGACCTGGCCCAGCTCTGGCTGTCACAGGTACTTGGGGAGTGAACCAGCAGACAAAAGAGCTTTCTTTCTGTCTGTCTCTGTCTCTGTGCCTTTCAAAGAAATTAAAATAAATTTTAAAATGTTTTAAGCACAAAGAAGACTGGAGTGTCTCATGTGTGACTTTAAAACATTCTTGGAAAATGTAATTAGAACATTGCCTTTTGGTGAAAAAATTTTGAAATCCATGTATTCAACTGGTCTTTAAAAAGGTCACAGCAGGGACAGTGTGGAGGTGTAGCGGGTAAAGCCACCACCTGTGTAGCTGGCTTACCACATGAGTGCCGGTTCATGTCCTGGCTGCTCCACTTCAGATCCAGCTCCCTGCTGATGGTCTGAGAAAGCAATGGAAGATGGCCCAAGTGCTTGGCCCCTGTACTCATGTGGGAGACACAGATGAAGCTCCTGGCTCCTGGCTTTGGCCTCACTCAGCTCTGGCCATTGTGGCCAGCTCAGGGTAAAACAGTGAATGGGGGCCGGCGCCGCGGCTCACTAGGCTAATCCTCCGCCTTGTGGCGCTGGCACACCGGGTTCTAGTCCCGGTCGGGGCGCCGGATTCTGTCCCGGTTGCCCCTCTTCCAGGCCAGCTCTCTGCTGTGGCCAGGGAGTGCAGTGGAGGATGGCCCAAGTGCTTGGGCCCTGCACCCCATGGGAGACCAGGAGAAGTACCTGGCTCCTGCCTTCAGATCAGCGTGGTGCGCCGGCCGTAGTGCGCCGGCCGTGGCGGCCATTGGAGGGTGAACCGATGGCAAAGGAAGACCTTTCTCTCTGTCTCTCTCTCTCACTGTCCACTCTGCCTGTCAAAAAATAAAAAAATTAAATTAAATTAAATTAAAATAAAAAAAAAACAGTGAATGGAAGATTCTGTCTCTCTCTCTGTAGCTCTCACTTTCAAATAAACAAGTAAATCTTAAAAAAAAAAAAAAAAGAAAGAAAGAAAAAGGGGGCAGGTCATTGAGGGGCCAGCATTGTGGTGCCATGGATTAAGCCTGTGCCTGTGATGCCAGCATCCCATATCAGTGATTGGTTTGGGTCCTGGCTGCTCTGTTTCCAGTCCAGCTTCCTGCTAATGCACTTGGGAAAGTAGCAGAAAATGGCACAAGTACTTGAGCCTCCGCCACCCATGTGAGAGACCTGGATGGAGTACTGGCTCCTGGTTTCAGCCTGGCCCTGCCCCAGCCATTGCAGCATTTGAGGGGTGAACTAGTGGATGGAAGACCTCTTTCTGTGTCTCTCTCTTTCTCTCTGTGTCTCTCTCTTTCTCTCTGTGTCTCTCTTTCTCTCTCTGCCTTTTAGATAAATAAGTCTCTTTTTTAAAAGTTGTGGAAAATACATATCATAAATATACTACCCATGGATTTCAAAATGTTTTTGCGCCAAAATAAGCTTATTTTGTAAACCCCGTGTTTCCGCACACTTTCTGAAGCGTCCTCGAGTATGGCCTGAGCCGGGCTGTGGCGTGGCGGCCTCTGTCTCTAGGAGTCCCTGTGCATGGGGTTGTGCAGCGCTGTGATACAAGATGCAAACCGGAAGGATGCTCTCCCCTGCCTGCTTCGCTCCAGGCCAGAGGCCCCAGCCCCGCTGACCCCCTCCCCAGGCCCAGCACGCCCGAGAAGCTGAGTGGGGGTTGTCCATTGGGCGTAATGGGGCGCAGGCTGACTGCACCGCCCATGGCGTCTGACTGTAAGGGCAGAAAGGAGAAGGATCCTTCAATCCTAGGTGGCCCTCGGTCAGGGGCTGAAACCGTCCCAGCTCCATAGTGCCTCAGACCAAGGGCTGATGAGAATGGGCAGAGCTGGGGGCTCTGAGGCAAGGGCTGATGGGAACAGGCGGAGCTGGGAGGCAGAAGCGAATGCTTTTTATGAGTGACATCCAGAGAACCTGAGACACAAAGTTCATAGACCGGGTCCCTGGGTCCCTGGGTGACAGGATGTGGAACAGCAGCTGGGGTTCGAGGCCAGTGTGGTCTCACTGCCGGGCCCTGTGCACTGCGGCCTCCCTCCTGGGCCCTGGGCCGCCTGGCTCCGGCCCACCTCCGTTCCTCACGGGTCTCTCTTGTGCTGGGCTCCTGGGAGGCAGAAGCTCTGAACCTCTGCGAGCACTCTTCCAGTCTCCTCGGCTGCCCACCAGCCCAGAACGCGCCATGGGGGAGGTGGGCTGACAGCGGCCAGCAGGGCCTACCCTTTCGTCTACTCTGGCTCTGGGACACTGAGAGACACCTTGTAGGGAGCTGGAATTTGGGGCTCCTGCCAGTCAATCCAGGCCCTTTAACTCAAGGATCCCCCGCCTCCCCACTACACTGGGCCACCCCTGGAGACTCTCCACCCTCACCTGCGGGAGCCCTGCCAGTGAGTGGTTTGAAACATGGCGGGGAGAGAGGGGCCGGCCGGTTTCTGAGTTGCCTTGCTGCTATGCTCCCGAGGTTTGGAACCAGGAAGAACTGAACTCAGGGCGACAGGCTGCCTTCACAGAGGGAGCTGTGTTTTCCCTGCTCTTTCATTATTATTCTTATTTCTGCAGGAATGTGTGGAGTCTTGGGACAGCTGTTTGGGGGAGTTGTCCAGGATTAAGGAGCTAAATTTTGCATGAAAATCTGGCTCCCAGACCTGTCCTTGTGAATTGTAAGGGCTCAGAGATGACCACTGTGAGGGGAGCTCAAGGCTGGGGCACAGAGACACTGAGGAGACAGACCCCAAGCCAGGCGCAACCTGGGGCTCTGGGGCAGTCACGTGGGGAGTGCTGCCCTCTGTGTCATGGCTTCCTGCTCTAATCACCAAGCTTTCTGATCTCAAGGCGTCCTGGGTGGGGACGGGAGACTCAATAAAACCCTGAGCTTCCATCTGCAGCCAGAGGGGTGGGGTTGGAGCCACTGTCACTCAGACATTCATGGGAAGGGCATCTCCCCACTCACAAGGCTGCCAGTTCTGCGATGTCTCAACCTCACGGACTCGGGGCCATTCCCTCCCGAGTGTTTACTATCCAGCTCACACAGTTATGATATGCAAGGAAACAAATGTCATCATAAAGTGAAAACAGTCGCGACGAACCCGCCCATTTACAAAAATGATGCTCACTCCCACATCCTGCCCTCACTAACACGCGTTTCTGCCTGTGGCTTGGGCCAGTGGGGACGCTGCGGGATGTCATCCAGTGCACGCTGACTGCAGAGCCCACGAAACCAGAACAGACACAGCGCTGGAGAACTGTATGGGCAGTGGCTCAGGGACCGAATGAAGACAACATGCCAAGGCTGGGGCGGGGGGAGAGCTGCTTCCAGGGCCAGCGATTCAGGTCGCGAAGGATTTCAAGAGACCCCTGAAAAATGGATAAGCCTGGCACTATCGAGCCATCTCTTCCTGCAAGTGCTACCAAGTTAGGGGTGAATAACATGTTATCCCAGGTGGAATAACTAGGTATTGTTGATGGAAAAACTAGATATAGCAACACCAAAATCAATGCTTGATTTTGTTCAACCCAAAAACTGGCATATAGCTTAGAGCGAAAATAACAGGATTTCATTCGTGCAGTAGAATCTCAAAATGAGACCCTTTTATGACACTATTTTCACCATTTCCTGTTTTACATGACAATCTTGCTGAACACCTTTTGCACTCTCTCCTGGGACATTTTGATCATTATTTTTGGACATGCATTTAGTGAGTGGGCGCTTGCTGCTGCCCACTCGGCTGGCCTGATGCGGCTCTGTGCTGAGAGCCCAGCTCTGGGTCAACATCCAGTTTAGGAGGCAGCCTGCAGGGTTAACAAGGTCTGACTTCCCGTGAGGCTTCCGTCAGACGCAGCCTACACGGTGCGCCTTGGCAGCTCCAATGAGCTCCGGGTACTGTGCTCCCTGGTGCGGACGCCACACACCTTCCCCAGGCGCCCGCTGTAGCCCGCACAGGCTGCCAGCAAACCTTGTGGTCTCAGCCCAGGGCTCACGGCTCGGCCTCCAGCCAGGCTAGCCGCGAGCAGAGAGGGGGCACTTACTTGGCCGGCAGGGCTCTGGGCTGCCTGTGGCTCTCCGGGGGGCTCCTCGTCCTCGGGAATGTGGGGCATGGCAGCCTCCTGGCGGGAGTGGCCGCGTGTGCCCGGAACCTCCGCTGCGTCAGCCCCCAAGATGCTCCAAGAGGCCTGGGCTCCGCAGGCTGGGGAGATGCCAAAAGGACAAGTCAAATCCTTTCCCATTCCTGTCCCAAGCTGGGTTCCATTTGCAGGAGCCAACAGCCACAGCCAGAGCCTGCTTGAGTTTGCATCAGCACTGGAGGAGAAGTGGGGCCAGGGAGGGGGGCTGGAGTTGCATTTCCTCCCGCTCTCTGGCTTTATTTACAAAGTCAGAGGTGACCTTGGGAGTTGTGCATCTAATTTGGTGCTTACAGTAAACACAGCTATCCCAGAAGGGAGAGCAACGTACTTCAACCTCCTCTCAGCCACAGCGGACGGCGGCTGCTTCCTCGGGACCTGAGTGGTTACTGGCGTGTCACTTGATGAGGACCTACTGGGTGCCAGCCACCCTCCCAGGAGCACTACTGGCATCATCTCATTGAGTTCTCGTGGTGGCCTCTGACTGAGACATTAAGACCCCCATAGTAAAGAGGAGAGAGTGTCCCGCCCCGAATCACACCAGGAGCTCTGCATTTGTCCTCAGTCCTCCAGACTCCAGGCCAGGGCTCTTTCTACTACACCACACAGCCTTCCATTGCCACATGGGTGGGAACCCAGGGGTGGGGTTCCCTGACTTCCGCTCCCCATGGCAGGGGGATGGGTGGGAACAGAGGGCTCCGTCGTTTGCTGAGTCCCTGCTGTGTCCCATGCAACGTGCTGCTGCTCACTGGCAGCTGCAAGAGAAAGAGGCAGAAAGTCCCATCACCTCCTAGGATGTCAGGTGCCCTTCTTGTTCCACAGAGGCCCCAAAGCCAGAGGGCTGCATTGCAGGCCTCGGTCAGACATCAGCCCCAGCCCAGCGAGGGCATGCCGGAGCCAGCTGTCCGGGGCCAGGCCTGGGGTCTGAGTCACCATGGATAGTCAAAAGATGCATCTAAAACTGGCTGCTGACTGCTGCTGCTAGAACCAGAGGCCTCCAGGGTCCACAATTTGTCAATGTGACCACCACCTTGGCTTTCTGCATTCTCTGCTCTGCAACAGTTGGGGCGACCCCTGCTGGTCACCCCAAGAAATACCATCTTGGACTCAACGCGTTCTTTTACCCCACAGACTTGATTTATGTCTACTCAGCCTTACTTGTGTGAACAGCTGGTCACCCAAAGATGACAAGGACATGGTCTTGGCCCTCGAGGAGCATGGGGTGAGGTGTGGGGGGCGGCTGGAAATCCGGGTAACGGGATAAACATTCAGAAAGTGGGAAGTTGCAGGACCGCAGCCCGGGATTCCTGGCTGTAGGGGCTGGGCTGCTGCAATGCAGTTTTAGCAAAAATTCCACATTGGGAGTGAAGTGGGCATTTGAGTGGAGCCACGAACACAGCAATGTGCGTACAAGTTCTCCAAACACAACAGTGTGGGCCTAGCAGAGGAGAGGGGCTGGGGAAGGGAGAAGCCCTTGGCTCTCAGGGGTCTGTCTCCTGCCTTGAGTGGTTCTGTAGGAATCAGCTGAGCACCACAGCTCTCCAGATGAGCTCTATGATCAGTTTCTAGTGTCTCCACTTGGGCTTCTGCAGCGATGACAGCAGTGGTGCTGGGTAAGGGTGAGTCACACAGGTTAAGGGTAGCAGAAGAGAACCCACAAACCGCAAGTCTAGTGGAGAAATGGTGTGTGCCTCTTGGGAAATCTCTTATAACCATGCATGGTGGATGTGTGGGTCCAGGATGTCTTTTTTTTAACATTTATTTATTGGGGCTGGCATTGTGGTATAGCAGGTTAAGCCTGCACCTGAGATACCAGCAGTCCATATGGTCGCTGGTTCAAGTCTGGCTGCTCCGCTTCTGATCCCTCTCCCTGCTAATGTGCCTGGGAAAGCAGTGGAAGATGGCCCAGGTACATGGGCCCCTGCACCCATGTTAGAGACCCATAGGAAGCTCCTGGCTCCTGGCTTCAGTTTGGCCTAGCCCTGGCCATTGGAGCCGTTTGTGGAGTGAACCAGTGGGTGGAAGACCTCTCTGTTTCTCCTCTTCTCTTTATAACTTTCCTTTTAAAATAAATAAAAAATAAATTTTAAAAATATTTATTTATTTGAAAAATAGAATTACAAATTGAAGAAAGGACAGAGAGAGAGAATCTTCCATCCACTGGTTCAGTCCCCAAATGGGCACCACAGCTGGGGCTGGGCTGGGCTGGGCCGGGCTGAAGCCAGGAGCCAGGAACTTCATCCAGGTCTCCCACGTGGGTGCAGGGACCCAAGGACTTGGATCGTCTTCTGCTGCTTTCCCAGGCCATAGCAGAGAGCTGGATTGGAAGAGGAGCAGCCAGGACTTGAACTGGGGCTCACATGGGATGTCTGTGTTTCAGACAGTGGCTTCACCCACTGTGCCACAGCACCGGCCGCCAGGTTGTCTTAATGAGAGTATGGTTTCCACTGGGAGGTGATGCTTCCGCTTTTCCTTTGTGTCTTAATCTACATGAACTACACAGTCCTCTGCTTGCGAAGAAGGATTTAAACACACTGGGGCGTGTCCAGGAAGGAAGGAGGACGAGGATCTGTGTTTACAGGACAAGACGGCTCTAGCCTGGACAAGAGAAGGTGCCGGAGGAAGTGCAATCGCTCCACAGATCCAGAAATGCCTTCGCGTGCTGCTCTTGTCCCCACAGCACAGCTCAGACGAAGGCTTCCCTTGTGGCTGGAACCGCACACAGGTGGCTCTTGGAGGTAACGAGCTCCCATGCCCGGGAGACTTCCAGCAAAGACTCAGGCAAGAGGCCCAGGATTCCCGACCACTACAGGGGCCTCTTCTGTCCCTGGGAGTCCCTGAAACCCTGGCCCTTGCTAGTCACAACAAACAACAAGACCCGATGGTTCCACACAGAGCGTTCCAGAGCCTGTTCCAAAGTCTCCACCGAAACCTTTCATTCACTAGCCCTCCCCTTCCCTTCTTCCATCTCCCTCTCTGCAGGAAAGATCTTAAGCCAGTCCTCGGGTCAGAAAAGAAGCCGGGCACGGATGAAGCCAGACCGGCCGTAAGATCTCGGCTGCTGTCAGGATAAGGCAGAGTGGATGCTGGCTGCGGTCCCACCCCTGAACACGCGGCAACCCCGAATCCTCAGGGCACCCCAACAGCCCCACCTGCTGCGGCCATTCCCACGCTGCGCCTGCCCTATTTGCCTTCTCTCCCATCCATTATTATAAACGCGCTGCTTAAAATAGCAAGGTAGAGGCAGAGTCGCTCCCCCAGGGTGACATCCGGGTTCCGCCAGAGCTCGTGGGCACGCGGACCTCAAATCCATCACGGATTTGTAGAGCACGGTCTTCAGGAAGTGGTGATCTAGAGCTCTGGCCCATAAAAGGCAAAACTATTTAGTCGTGTTGTTCGGCCTGCGAACCATGCCTTCTTTAACCCATTTCCTGGGCCTTTCCTGCTGCCTCTCCAGCCTGGTCGGTAAAGGGTTAGAAGGGTTGGTTCCAAGAGTCCATCACTCACGCTAGCCCCAGCCAGTGCATCCAGTGGAATATGGCCCATTTTACAGGAAGCAAAACTGAGGTGCAAAGAGCAGAAACAACTTTCCTGGGGCTTTTGCACCTGGCACACATTGTACAAGAACCTCTGTAGGGATGGCTCACTAGACAATCATTCGTGCAACCCAAGAGGTGACAGGTCCCTAAGCCACACCTCTGCTCATGAGAGAAAGCAAGCTAGTGTACAGCCCTTTTGTTCAACCTCTGCTCAGCGGGCACTTCTGAGTTGCAGAGGGAGAACCGAGGCAGGGCTGGGGACATCTCAAGGGCTATCTTGTTTGACCCCCTGGGAAAGGTTTCACGGTTTCCGTTTAACCCAGGGGGGCACAAAGGCTCAGAGAAGTTCAGCAACTCACTCATGATCACACAGTGAGGCTGTAGCAGGCCAAGGTTATGGTCCAGGCTCATCTGACTCTGGGGCCTGTCATCCTCTTTCCATTCCACTCTGCAGAAGATCTTGCGTGGGGCCCCTGTCCCCCAGGAGGACCTGGACTGTGTAGTCCCAGGGAGGCCAAGGAGAGGAGGCAGCTCCATCGCCTTGGCTGTCAAGGGTGAGCTCACAGGTAGAGGCAACAGGTCCCTGGCTGGCCCATGCAGTTTCATCCGTTCATCCCCTGTCATCCACCCTCTCCCCCCCAAGCTTCCATTCGTATACCTGCCCAGCGGCTCGTCCCTCAGCCATTTACTCCAGGAAGCCCCGCCTGCAGCAGGTGAATAGCACAGGCCCCACCCCCAGGCATAGCTGCCATGGGACCCTGTGGGGGGCAGGGGCAGGGCAGGAAGACAGGAGGAGCAGCCCCTCCATCCTGCACTCAGCAGGCAGTGGGAGAGGCCTACTGTGCCATGGCCCCAGGAAGGCTCATGGCAGAGCGAGCCTCGCCCCCGCAGGCCTCCAGGGCTTGCTGTGGCCCAGCAACCGCAGGGGCCCTAGGCAGGAGCCCAGGGTTAGAAGTGGTCTTCCAGGAACCTCCCTTCAGGGCCTGCAGCAGCCCTGGGAGATGGCACATGGCAGTACCATCGCTGCTATCGTGAGAACCGTGTTATGGTGAGGAAGCAGAGGCCCCGGGACTTGTCCAGCGTCACATGGCCATGAACGGCGGTGCTGGGGTCCACTGTGGGACTCTGCCTGTCCCACTCTGGGCAGGGCCACTGGCTCCTGGGGACATCCTGGCACACAGTAGCCTCTCCCAGAAGACAGCACGGTATTGCAGGAGGCTGGCCCATGGGCTGCTCATCCTTGGGGGTCAAGGGAAGAAGCCCAGAGGCCCTTCTGGGAAGCAAGGGGTTACCCCAACCACCACTGACCTCTTTGGAATGACTAAGTATTCTCAGAAGGGAGTTTTTTTGTTCTTCCAGCTTTGAATTTTTGCTTTCATTTTAGCAGCACAAAGAATGTGAAAAAGATTAGGTTGCTATTAATACCGCTGCCCTATCGCTGGATGAAGAACTCGACGGAGAGGAGCACCGGGGGGCAGCCGCCCACATGCCCCTCTACCCCTCTGCAAGCCACAGGGCCACAGGGA